GGGGGGGCGGGGGAGGGCGGAGACAGAAAACCGTGAACAAAATCACGCCGCTGGGAGTCTCCGAGACATAAGAAGCCGACGGGTGATTCAAGCCATTGTCGCCCGTCTTAACCTGAAATATTAATTTTGGGAGGAGATGGCCTTTAATGAGAACTGGAGCAGAAAATCATTCTTAAAATTATCCAAAAACATGACAACAAGAACAACAAGAACAGTGCATGCCGACATGTGACCGATGTATATTCCCACCATTAATGCTTTACTTTTGGGTACGCTCACACCAGATGCACTGCGTTCCGTTCCGATTCTGGCCGGAACGCACTGCCTCGCATTGCGGCCGGCTCACTTTTTGTTGGGCAGGAGGGGGCGTGACGGGCTATTGAACTGATTGGCACCGTAGCCACGCTCTCCGGCCACAATGCTTTTGCCCGCACGGGATCGCAAAGCACATTGTGCCTGTGCTCCAGTCCGGTGCAATCAAAACACTGCAAGCACTATTTTGATCAGTGGCTACGGTGCCAATCACTTCAAAAGCCCGTCATGCCCCCTCCTGCCCCACAAAAAAGTGAGCCGGATGCGATGCAGTGCGTTCCGGCCAGAATCGGATTGGAACGCACTGCATCTGGTGTGAACGTACCGTTAGAGAGGACGGCTGAAAGACACATCCGAGGCCAATGACATTACAAATCGTTTCTCAGCCCCTCAGATTGCATAACAAATCCTAACAACATCCCCAATTTTTTTTTACATTACCCTTAAAGGGACCCCGTCGTCTTGCCCATTTCAAGACAAAGTGACAGGGTCTCTCTAAACCACCCCCAACCCTGTTATTGACACCATGACCGCAGTGCAAGTAGTAATGACATCATCCCCTCGGTCATGTGACAGTGTTCAACCCAGTAAATGGCTGCCACACCTGAGCACTGCATCACAGGAGGAGGTCACATGATCTAAAAGGTGAAAGCAGCAGGGTCAAGTATTTGTTTTAAAAGTCCCTGTCACTTTCCCATGAATGGGGCGAGGTGATGGGGTCTCCAGTTTTGTAGCCATGTAGGGGAAACAGTGCGCCATCAGGACAATGTCCGGCAGCAACAGCCAGACCTCTGGCAAGCTGATGTCCTAAAAACTCGGATGTAAAAAGGCACCGTATCAGAACGCCAGTGCCCTGATTTGGCCAAGCCTGGCGTAATATTCCTGCAAGAGGGTTTTGCCTTCGCATAATTCGCTCTTTAATTGTGGCTGGAACGCAGTGTTAGTCCCGCGGTCACGCTGAGCGTTTTGTAGTGCCCTAAAAAACGCTCCAAAAATCTGACCCCCGCTCCTCCCTCCCCCCCAAAAAAACATTCATTTCTATGGCCGTGTTCACATCGGAGCTTTTTTTGGGGGGGCATATTACAGCTCGTTTTGGCCCCATAGACTCAATAGGAAATGCTTGAAAACGCGTGTTTGCTGTGTTTTTGCGCATTTGCTCATTATCATCTATGAGCTACGATCTGCTCACAAAGAAAAGCACGTTTTGCCGCATGCGCATAAAAAGCGCAACATAAAACACGCATAAAAGCTGAAGCCGAGTTGTGAACCAGGCCTAAGAGCTGTGCTGTATGTCATCAGTTATCCACTAGAGGGCGCCTGCGAGAGCTTTCCATCAGGTGATCATCTGATCCGAATGCATAGTATGAAGAGGATGGAAAAAGTCTCATCAATCCTCCAAGGAGAGCAAAGCATGGAAGTTTGTTCCTTAAATTGATGAAAACCATTGGTAAGCACCCTCACTTGCAGCACACTGTCTGTCACTTCTATGAGCTGCTGATTGGGTCAAAGTCAAACCTCTCAATAGCAAGATATTAAATTGACACGAAACTCGAGGATCTTAAATGCATTTGTGCTTTTCACTCATCCTCATAGTTGCAGCTCGCGGTATACTGAGCTTAGGGTGACGGGAGGACGCTAGTTTGTGTCCTCCCGTGACCCTTAGGCTAACTATATGGAAAAGCCCTGACCCCATAGTTCTCCTTTAACTCCCATTAACAACAATGTATCTTATTTGTGTATCACTCGGCTATAGAACCTCCAATCATCTCTGAATTGGTGCTGACACTGTCCTTCCTTCTGGAGGGGGGCTACTTTTGTTCCCCATAGTCCCTGTGTGTGTTGTAAAGTTGTCACTGCTCCAAGCTCACCCCTATGATGGACTACAATCTCAAAAAAAATGAGCAAACTTAACATGAGATTGTAGTCCATCCCAGCTTGGAGCGGTGACTACTTTACAACACACACAGGGATGTCAGACCCAACCCAGTATGTCAATGCACCCATCGTAAGTAGGAGAAATGATATATATATTTCAGGGATGCACCGATACCAAGTATTTGGGCGAGTGCCCAAATGCTTCCGATGCCTAGCCCAATATGTGAGCTTCCGCTATCAGGAAGCCGGGCACCGAGTTATTACACGCTGCCGGCCTCCCAGCCAATCAGGAAGCTGGGCGCCGTGTAATGACGTGACGTCGGGCTTTCTGATTGGCGGGGAAGCTGGCTTTATCCTCCCTCGTAACCTCGCGACAAGGCGAGCATGGAGCCGGCTTCCCTGATAAGCGGGAAGCCAGGTGGCGAGTCTTTACATGCCGCCTGGCTTCCTTAATGGGACTTCGGGTATCGGTATCAAGTGCCGAAGAAAAAATACTGGTACTTGATATAGAAAAAACGGTATCAATGCATCCCTATGTATTACTACGGCATATGTGAAGTAAAGCAGCCAGTAGTACAAGATCTCGGACCTCCCGGAGCACCTATAGGAATGAATAATATAACGCAGCGTAGAAAGAGATGAAGGTTCCCTGGAGGGAGTGAGGAAGGATTGTTCTCTCTGAACCAAAACTGCCCCCCCCCCCCCTAACAATGCAGCCAGCTGGGGGAGTGCGTCAGCCAGCGCACTGCATACGTGTACAGACAACATGGCACACATGACCCCCCAGTGACCCGGCAGAAGGATACTCAGACCCGTTCACACATTAGCGTTTTGCCGCGCGAAACACAAAAACCAATACATTCTAATGCAGCTTGTCCTCACCTGCGCGTCGTCCGTGCGGCATAAAAAAAAAGCACATTGCGCAGAAACTTACAAGCGTGATATACTGGGTGACTTCCGTGCGTTCCGGCTATAATAGTAGTAGTCGCAAACCGCACGTATGTTAAAAAGTGCGCGTTTTCATGCTGCACAGACGAACGCACGGTTTTCATACCGCTGTGTGGGAACGGAGCCTCACAGCGGCGGGGATGGGATGTCCTTGCAGGCCGGATACAGCAGTGTGAGTGGAGATTCGCTCTGCCTATACACAGCGAGTCGCCGCCTGTCCTCCTCGGTGTCCCGGTGCTGTGGCACCGGCTGCCCCTGCACTGTAAGGGTTAAAGGTTTGTTCAGGTCTAGTGTTATCAGGTAATATCATCATATCGTATCTCCGCTCCCAAGGCAGTCAGCGTTCACTTCTCTCCCCAACGCTCCGCTTCCCCGGCAGTCAGCGGTCACTTCTCTCCCCAACGCTCCGCCTACCCGGCAGTCAGCGTTCACTTCTCTCCCCAACGCTCCGCTTCCCTGGCAAGTCAGCGTTCACTTCTCTCCCCAATGCTCCACGCTTCCCCGGCAGTCAGCGTTCACTTCTCTCCCCAACGCTCCGCTTCCCTGGCAGTCAGCGTTCACTTCTCTCCCCAACGCTCCGCTTCCCTGGCAGTCAGCGTTCACTTCTCTCCTCAATGCTCCGGCATGCAGACAGTCGCTTGGTGTCACATATAATGCAAAGTTATGGGCCCTGCACTGTACCAGACGTCAGCCAGCCTCCGACCGCCGGACCCCATGTCAGTCTATTTGGAATCGGATATAAATGGACATCTACATCAGATTACCCCAATCCGGCATCAGGTCCGGCAAAATGGATCTCTGATCAGTTTGCTTTGCCCCGGACACTGGACCAGGCCAGGGTCCGGGGTAAATGGACGTCCAGCCATTTACACGCGGCTGCCCATAGACTAGCATTGGGTGTTCGATCGGGTCCACTTGAAAAACTGACAGGCGGACCCGATCGGACCGGCCGTGTGAAAGGGGCCTTACAGTTTCTTGACCTACCATACCTGGACCTACCTACCACTAAATGGCAAAGTCCTGCCAACGGCCATTCTGTCCTGCAGAAAGACTGCTTGAGCAGAGGGATGGCAGATCTCAATCATGAAGTCAAGGTAAGTCAGGTCCAAGTAACAAACTAAATC